GTTTCTTCCAACTTCGCGTGTGCACACCAAATATCAGAAAGTTTTCTTTGGGCTACTGCTGATTACCATAATCGACATGCTAGCATTATTTAAGTATATAGCCTATACATCCTTAATAAATGTACAGTTCTGGTCATGCAACTGTATATTTTATTCTTATTAATGTTCACTTTATTCATTTACTATTAACGAATTCTTACATCTTGTTGCTGTTTGCAACAAGTTTTGTTGAATAATTTATTAAATCGTTTTTCTGTGATACAAGCAATAGATTAAATGAACATTTTTTTATATATTGTATGGAGACATGCAGCAGTATTTCTAAATTAATCGAAAGTACTGCATTAAACGAACTACAGATTCCTAACGTGTCCACTAAATAGCTGAATACTTGTTGTACGCGATCTACATTCTGGAAGAGCCGAATAGCATAGAGATAGGTCAGGAGATGCAACAAGCTTTGCGATAACATTGGTACCTCTAAATTTCGTATTGCGTATTCGTTTCATCGTGTACTGGTCTTTCGTTTAACGACTCAACACTCTCTTCGACACTTATCCTAGATGAATTTTCCGGCTGAAATTACCATATTTTACGATTACATTTCATGCTCTCAAACACTTTTTGACATTTTCTCATTCAAGTTCTATGAAATGATTATCTAACCCGACTCGGAGATGGACGTTCTCAATTATGAGGGGTTTGCAGAGGGATTTCAAGGAGTGAGATGCTACAACGTTTTAGAATTGGTTTCCTTAAGGATGTTTTATTCGTCGTTCGTATAACATAATCAATATTGCATATTCGTATACGTATAAAAAATATAATAAAAAAAAAGAAAGAATGAGGAACACACATACAAAGCTGACAAAGATAAATAAGAAATGCACGATGATGGGAATGAATAACACTGGTGTGTTACGTCGCAGTCGTATATTAGACAATGAACCATATCCAATTTGAACACATTTAATTTATTGATGAGGATTGGCCCTGTCCTTGAACTGAAATGTTTTTTTTTTAAGATCGAATTTAGATTTCGACATTATTTAGCTCACTTAAGTATATTAAAAAATAAGAATTCCTTTTCAAATACTGCTTTTGTACTTAATTCAACTAAATTCCACGCACCTGAGATCTTTATGAAATAGCTTCGCCACATCTTTTCTTTTTTTGCTTACTCTTCCCAAATTAAATCTTATGAATTTCAAGGACAGGTGCCTATCTGTTCAATGCATAGCTTCTCGATGTTTTCCTTACCGATTTTACGAAATCTTTGTCGTTGTTACGTTCTCCTTTCGACTGATTCATCTCCTCCTCGTCCACGTTCTGTTGTTTCAGATCGTTCTCCTCTTCTTCTTCTTCCTCCTCCTCTTCCTCCTCCTCCTCGCCTACCTCTTCCTCTTCACGTTCTTCGAGTTCTGGTTCTTCCCGCAGATCTTCCATCGACTGTAAAAGAACGATTCGACTCGTCTAATCTCCTGCTTTTGCTATTACAAATTTTCTTCTGTCATTTTAAATTGTTGCCAAAAATCGCATGCTTCAAGACATGCAATAAAATAACTTCATTTCCAAAACTGCTTGTGTTGCTTGATAAAATTCATTTATCAACAAAGAAAATGTTAATTTCTAGAATAATTACATGTGTGTTACATGCCACTAGAATTTTATGCATAGCATTAAAAAACGTTACGATTGATTACTAATTTCTCTATAATTGGGCTTCTGTTTTTCAAAGCATTCCAAAGCGAGCCTGTAAAGTAGACAATATTCATTAATGGGACAAACACAACTGAATTTATTATTTGTACAATTTTATCGTTTCGTGATCTTGCTCGAAAGGCTACTTCGCAAGCTGCTTAGAACTTGATGCGTATAATTCTTATAAAAAAAAGAAAAAATCTTTACGAATGGATTTGGTTTCGGAGGTTTAGTGATGATGCCTGTATTTACCCCTAGGAGCTCCTTCTTCTCTGGTTCTTCATCAGCTGCAACAGATAATTCCGAATCAATGAGCATTTCAATTAATAGGATTCATTTTGAATTTGTAGTTCTGTTCTGTAGTTCATTTTTTACTCGCATTTCAAAAGATTTTATTGCTTGACGAGCGTACCTTTAATATGAACCTTTTTGTCGTTAACTAAATCTTTGGACTCCGCGTTCATCAGCGGCTTGTATTCTTTCGCTGGTTTCATATGCGTGCCGTTCGGTCTTTTCTCGTCTTCCGTCATATTTTTAAAGCCCACTGTTTTCACACCGGTTAACGGATCGGTGTATTGTTGCGTTTGCCATCTTTGAGAACCGGAGGCTGGCACGTTCGACGCTCCAGCCACCGATGCTCGTCTACGGCGCCGATCCTTTCTCGCGCTTCGCCAAACCTCGTAAATGCAACCGATCACCGCTGTCACGAACACGCAGCACAGCGCGATGAAGATGTAAGTACCAGCGCCCTGTTCCTCCTGCGTCGCGTCAGAATATTGCGATTTATACAGTATCCTCTCCGGCGGATCCTCCACCCAGGCTTTGTCACGATCCTTTGAAAAAAGTTTTCAAATCTGTAGAATCTTTTTCTTCCGCGATATCCCTAAATTCTGTTTCGATTCGTTCTGTCACGTAAGTAGCTCCGATTACTTATCCTTTTCATTCGTTTGTATGATTACTCAGAGCTAGATTATAATACAGGGCGTATTGACATACATCAAATTATATTCCATCTATCGTGGACTGATTCTCGAAAAAACGTATCATCATACAAAAGTATCAAAGCCAGTGTCTACTTTATATTTAAATGCCAACTCCTAATATCGTGCAAAGTTCTACCATTTAGATCTAAACTTACTATACCAGTGGTGGGCAAACTTTTTTAATGGGGGCCACAAAGTTTAAGAAATTCTAGAGGAGGGCCAGAATTATAGAAAAAATACACTTTATACTTCTCGACCGTGAAAACGTAATTATAGCGGGCCATATACTATCCATGTCGATGGCCCGTCGGCGGGCCGGATTAAATAATTTCGCGGGCCGTACTTTGCCCACCACTGTACTATACCAAGCTCTACCGAGTATAAATCATAGTTCCTTAGAGTTGAGGAAATTTGATCTAGATAAAAAAAAAAAAAATAATAGAGAAAATGGTGTGTCTTACCACGCTGTCGTTTCTGGGTGGATCCAAGCCGCGTGGTTGAGCGTGAAAGACAGCGCACTGCGCGCTCCTGACGCCGGCGGGTATCGTCGCGCGTACGGTTTCGCTGCCCTGTTTCGTAAATAGCATATATTCCTCGAGTGGCTTCATGCCAGGTCCATCGTTGATCGATACCACGACGTCTACAAGAAGAGGGTATCCGTCATTTCGTATTCGCAATGTGGCTGACGATCGATCGTTTCGTTTTGTCTGACATCAGAAAGACGGTACTCTGTTAGAACGTACGGCTCGACCACGTCGATATTCGATTTCGATTGACAGACATTTGAATGAAAGCTGCGATTTTAACTCACTGCTCAGACAGCCGGTGTATCCTTTGTACGCGCTGAACCGAGAATCCGTCGTGTTCAGACCTCCCAGTTGGATCTCTGTCACGCCTGGACTCTCGTCCTCGTCGTCTCCAAGATTTAACTCCGGGATCGATAACATTTGTGCCGGTTCGCGATCGATCTGTAAAACGAAGACAATTTTATCAAGCATTTAAAGAAGCTGATCTTCTTCGATATTGATTGAAATTAATTAGAATTGCAAGATAGTTTGTAGATATATTAGAATGTACCAAAAGCGTAGCCGTGTTGTTATCGCGAACGTAGTAAACGCTGTGCCGAGCTCCGTTCAGAAAATTTCTGTCGCCCAGACGTGCGGCGTGTACGGAGCCCTCCCTGTCCTCTTTAAGAATAAGCTCACCCTCTGATGTCAAAGCGACCAGCAAGTAGTAGCTCCTTTTGAAAGAAAGAGTTTTCGACAGACATCCAGGATTCGTGGTGGCATTTATTTATCGTGAATATTAGATGGATAGGAATTGTACAGAAGATTCATAGAAAACTTACTTATTTTCTGTTAGTAAAAGAAGCAGTGCGGTGGTTCGTTTACGAAGCTCACTCGTCGAGAATGCCAGCTGAACTTTTACCTTGGTCACTTCACCGACCAGGTCGAATTCACGTTGAAGAACGCTCTCGCCGCTGAAGTCTGCTCCCTTTTCTAACAGTAAACACGAATTTTCAAGCTTGCTTACAAGGAAACTCAACAATCAAGTAGTATATTTTAAATTTTGTCAGTTGTTGCAAATTCTTGAATAGCTCGTACAAGTTTCTCACCGTCAGCGCAATGTTCCCCGAAATACGAGGTCAATTCGCAGTTGCACGAAGACTCCTGTCTTCCGAAATCTTCCGTACAAATGCCTAAATTTTTGCAAGGCGTGGCATCGCATTTCATTTGGCAATTAGGTAGCACGCCTTTGCTGCCCTCGTGATTGGCTTCATTCGCGAGACTAGGCAAATCGACCAGGTATTCTCCGATCATCAATCCGCGAAGGCAACCAACGTATCCTTTTATCTGCACCTCGTCCTTGCCGACTCGGAGTAAATCGTCCGTGTCGAAGCCTCCTAGATTCACCTATGCAAGTTCGCTGATCATTGCGTACGTTCAATTCAATCTCGTCTCTGAACCAGGAAATCTCACCTGAAAATAGCTCGAGGGTGGCGCGGGTGGTCTCTGGGGTGCCAGCACTTCTTTCTCGGGGTTCACCCACGGCTTATTCGAGTACGTGTCCAATAATACAGGAGTAGCATTTAGAGTAACGTTGTACTCGTTTACGTGTAGAGTCGTCGATTTTTCGTTGCGGATTATCGCGATTTGGACTGAAATTCCTGTGTTCACACCTGGTAGAAGTTTCATGTTATAATTATTTTATCTTTATTTAAAAATGCTCAATTCTTTCACTTAAAACATATTTATATCTAATGATTAAGAGTTTGAGGTATCGAGATTGTACCTGGATATTCGACGGTGATGTTTTTAATCTCGTTACCAGCATTGAACAGATACACAATACTAGTGCCGTTCGATACGTAGAGATGAGCAAAGTTGTTCAAATGATCGTTTGCGTACAAGATCAAGGAATGAGTGTCGTAAGTTCTCAGGTTGATTAAAATGTTCTGCCACAGTATGCTCTTTAATAACAATTTTTCTTCGTCCTTCTCGTCTGTACCGAAGTAGTTTTTCTTCAAGAAAGCACCTTGCGAGGTGAACGTCAAGGCTTTGCTGTTTATATCTAAATAATTTGTCAATGGAAAAAGTTATTGGAGAAAGAAGTGTGTTTGGAGATAGACGATTGGAAAGCTTACTCCTTTCGCAGTAGGTGCCAAGGTGAGCCCATCTGTTCTCGCAAACGCACTCGAAGTTGCTCCACAGTTCTACGCACCTTGCGCCGTTCTGGCACTTGTTCGGTTGACAAGAAGGCTTACAGTCTTTTATAATCTCGGACAAGTGGACCGACATATAGCTATGAATATCTAGAATCTCTCCGTTTACCACTAAACCGCGGAAACACCCGATGAGTCCTTGGCGTACCGAGGATGTCCTCAAGTGTTCCCTAAACAGTTGCATATGTTCTTTATTTCAAACATATCTATATATTGTTAAACTAATTAATAATTGGTAATAAGTTTGGAGAGCATTCTTCGATATTTATTAAAAATTAACGAAACAGGCGTGATAAACATAAATTATATCAACTCATTTGTTGTATTTGTTAGAAATAAAATTAGAAAAGTACTTTTTATTTTTGCAATGAAATATTTTTGAGTAATTTCAAAATACTCACGCGGTAGCGCCGCCAATGAACATAGAACCCTCGAACGGCCCGAACTCTTCCTCAGGCAGCAAATCGACCATTCGTTGGTCAGTATTGATCATAAATCTGACGTGATAATCATTGTAATCGATCCAAATCTTCTGCCACTCGCCGTTATTCAATTTTCTTACGCTCTTTACCTCGAGCTCCCTTATGGTCCCAGTATTTAAAGTGAAATTGAACGTTAACCGATACTCCGAGGTCAGTGCGACCATGAACGATGGATAGTTGCTCCTGATGGGTGGTTGGTACAAAAGTATAGCCTTTTCTCCGGTCGTACGAAAGCTGAATGCTATGTCTCCTTTCCTCCAACCGGGTACCTCGATGTACGATTGCGAGGTTGTGAAAGTGACGACGTATTTCTGTGTATCTAAACGATGATTAAACGAGACATTTTTAAATATCGTTTAAAATGATTAATCAAAAAATTGGGTGAACATGTATAAAATTGAATTTTTTCTGTTAATCAAAATTCATCTAAATTATTTTTGTTGAATAATTACTTGTTTCGACGCATTCCAAAGGGCCCAGAGTAATCCGCCCTTGAGCATCTTCCTCGAGGTCCCGTTGTTGTAAAAATATCATTTCTGTGATGCCTAGAGAATCCGGGGTTTCATAGTAGCCTTCGTCGGATAGCCACTTGCCCGCATTTCCGGCGGATACGTCACAATTGCAGCTCAAGTTCGGATCGACGCACGTCCTATTCACTAGACACAAAATGCGAATAATAAAAGTTTTACATATTTGTTTGTCGTCAGAATTATAAAGATTTTTCTGCACGTCGTTTTAAACACGACACTTACTGCCGCAAGGACAAGATCCTCTGTTCACGTTCCCTATGTAGTCTACGGTAGTTCCCTTTGAGCTGAGGAACCACGTAGCACTGTGCAACTCCAATGGTGCTTTGTAGCAGTCATACTTGACGTGTTGACTGCAGTGCAATGAATGCGAGATCAGTTCTTGGAGCATTTCCGCGGTAAACTGTCTGTACTTGATGTTGAAAGAGAAGTCGGACTCCGCGATAGACCTAACATCGACTTGCGACGGCAAGTTGTGCTCCACGATGGTTTTCGTCGAGTCCTCGATAGACTGGAACTCGCATTTCACTATAGCGGGTGGAAACCTTCCGTTCCCGTCTATGTCGATCTTGTACACGTCGTCCTTCGTATATTCCAATAACGCGAGTTCCTCGCAAGTCTTCCTGTATAGTGCTGACAAATTTCTTATATTACTTTTCATCCGTGCTGATAGAATGCAATTGCAGTCAGTGAATTATGAAGTAGTCTTCATCTTGCGTTAAGATATTTTGAAATATTCAAATCATTTGGGAAATCACATATTTTTATGTATTATTAATTCTATAATGATTCTTAGTAAGATTACAATACTGTAGAAGATTGTCCGGATTTTCCGCTTCACTCACCAAAGTGACAATTCTTCCCGATGTAGCCAGTATCGGTGCAATCGCAAGTGATCCTGTCCTCTTTCACCGAACACTTTCCCCCATGCTCGCAAGTGTTCGGCCTGGTGCAAGGATCAACGAATTGGCAATTATCCAGTGCCACCTCTCCGATAACTCTGTCGGTGTTGACCACGTACCTCGGTTCTATTCTCTCATCGTTCACCCATATCTCGCGCATGCACCCGACCAGACCTGATGCAGAACACGTTTCGCGCTGCATTTATATACAACGCCCGCATCCGCGATTTTGATCGCGTCAATTTGCACTTACCCGCGTTGCTTTTCCCGCTACCGATGATAACTTTGTCGCCCAGCTCGAACGTCATAGAGAATAATTTGCTCTGTTTGTTCCGGTAATCCACGAGGATGTTCAGCTCGCCTTTCGTGTAGTTCAGTTCGACCGCGTGCCAGGACGTGTTATAAGGTGGAAACTTCACCGCAGTTGAGACCGTGATGTTCTCGGATAATACTGGTATCAGTTGAAAGCGAATTTCATCGTTCACCAAACGAAGCTACAAATATATGAATACAATTTTAGGCAAATGGTTTTTAGAATTATGTACAAAATATTCTCAAACGAAGAATATAAGATTTTTTAGTACAAAAATAAGAATACTCTTTGTATTTAATTGTATTTTATTCTGAAGATTTCATTAAAGTTCTTAACATTTGCGTGACACCAGTTATAATGAACAGATAAAAATTATTTCCACTTTTAATTACGCCATTCGATACGAACTTTGACGATCTTGTCGTAAACATTATGAGAATTTTTTCATTTCCTTCTTAATTAAAAACGAATGACCGTGTTTATTCTACATTACCTCCCAGTATCCGGAGCCGCGACTACTTGTCACGTTCCCAGATGCGACTATCGCTACTGGCTTCGAGCTCTTAAAGTCGAAATTCAATTTAAGGGAGTCGGTCCGCGCTATGGGCCACCATATGTGGCTGCCCGCGAATGGATACGTTATCGGAATCACATCGACGTCCGCGTCGTAGTACTCCGGTTCCAGCACGCCGATATAGTGCACCATGGGATTGGAACGTTTCAACTCGTAAATAATCGACTTGTCGTTGAAGAATACATATTTCAGCGAACCTATAATCGGTTCGATCAATTTTCATTCGTCGTGGTAAATGCGTTCCCGAAAGGGAATAAATTGAAAGCATGATCGTTGAAAAAGAAAATCCAAGCATTTTAATTAAAATCGTAATAAAGATCTTTTTGAGGATCTGAGAAGCTTGATTAAATGGCAGAGCAAAATGTATAAACCATTCTCTTGATAAGAGGTCGTAAGATTTTCACAAATACGTTTTTATATCTCCAAAGATTGGATTAGGCATGAATTTCATATAAGACATAAAAATGTGAGAATAAAATATAAGAAGACTTACCTGCAAAATTATTATGCGAAAGGAGACCCTTCTTCTTGTGCAATTCCGGGCCACCTCCGATGTAAATCTCAGGGTCGATGATCATATTGTAATTTTCGCCAGGGACCTCAAGTACTTTAATCTCGTCGTCCAAACTGACGAAGACCAGAGATCCGTTATGAAAGATGGTCAAATTGTTCCAATGGTTCGAGGTAACGTAATCGCCGAGCACAGTGGCGATTTTCGAATTGTGCCCGAAATCCAGTTCGACGTGCACCGAGCCGTTCATTATCGAGGCTGCCACGTAGTGTGGAGTACCGTCGATTTCTCCGGATGCATAAAACAACGCGGAGTCGTCCCATTTTGTCTTTGTGACAGAGTAATAATTTTCATTTATCATCCCAGCATATTAGATTAAAAATAATAGAATTCACGTTACGCTTTTATTATGATTAAACTCAGAATACGATTGTTAATTCTTTTAATTTATGAGACAAAAATGTGCAACGGTAAAAGATTCGATTAAATACCTTGAATGCCAGACTTATTCTGTTAACAGACGAGTGGACTCTGTCTTTCCAGTCGTAAACGCGAAACGAGACGTAGGACGAACCTCTTAATGTTAAAATTGTAGCCGCTGGAATTGTTAGGATATTTATTAATGATTCAGTATTATATAAAATTCTGTTCTAAATAATTTTTATAAAATATTCTTAAAGATCTTGAATGTCATATTACTGACATGGTGTAAATTAAAAACTGCTTTACTTACTGTATACGTCACAGCGTTCTCCTTCGTACTTGGTCCCAAAACAGTCGCAAGTCAAGCTATTATAATGATTCACACATTGGTTCGAGATGAAACATAAATTCTCTCGTGTTCTACATCTGGAATTTATTCGGTGGAAAAGGAATTGGAATCTTTAACAATATCGGAACGTAACATAACAATTCGAAGAACGTGTCTCACTTGTCTATGCAGCCCTCCTTCACGTTTTCATGCTTTGTGGCAATCAGAGGTTGAATAGGCAACAAATCGCTAGCCGATTTGCCTGAGCTGAGAACCATGTCTCTTATGCACCCAACGAACGATTCTATTATGTACTTCACGCCGTGCAATCGCTCTTCAGAGCTCAACCCTAACAAACACGATTTTCTTATATCGCAAAATCAACTTTTATTAAATAAAACATATGCGAAATGTGAATAAATAGAGAATTGGATTATAGGAGTGTAAAACGGTGACTCACAAAATCGGGGAAACATATGATTCATTTTAATAATAAATCAACATTAATCACAGTTAATGTCACCGTTCCTCGTATTAAAAATTAGGGAAACACGTGGTATACCAATTGATAATTCTTAGAAGAGATACTTACCTCCGATGAGGACGACAGAAGCCAGTTCCTCGGACACTCCGTAATTGACAACGTGTTCTAAAACTTCGAGCGTGGTCTCCTCCTGCTTGTCGTCCACCCTCGCAATCAGTTTCGCCCCGTGGACGTCGATTCTGACCAGAACGCTGTGCCATTCGTCCCTGTTCAACCCTTCGCCGACTGTCAGGCTAGTTGAACGCTTGCCGAATACGTGGACCACTTTTAGTTGGCCTTTCTCTACGATTACGTACAGAGCGTACGGATCTAAGCTCTCAGGTCTATCCTTCACGCTATGGTAGACCAGGAGACCGTGGGGCAATTTAGTGCGAAACTTGAAAGATATTTCGCGACACAGCCTGGAAATTGTAAACACAAAAAGGGTTTCCTTGCAAGAAATTAGAATTTGAAATCGTCGTTAAGTATAAGATTCGATTAATAAATATTAGAAACTGAATTTTTACTTGCATTGAAATTTGCAATTCATCTCGTTAAGCTCACATTAGATTAAATATAATTGAAATAGCTTACCGAAGTTGAAAAGTTTTTATACCGCTACCATCGAGTTGTATAAATGTGTTACTTTGTGCGAACATGAAAGTCTTCTCATAGCCAGATTCCATGAATGTCAACTCCTGTTAAGCAACGCTTCCAATGAACATTTGTAGAATTTGCATTCTATATTACTTCCGTTTATTTTTTAATCGTATTCATTATTAATCAGTGCGTATCAGCAAACTAGAAATTATTTTTACATTGATGAGATTGGAATTACCTTTCCTCTTTTGTACTTTGGTACCGGCGGTCTGGTCGGCTCTGGCGGTTTGAACGTTGGTCTCGGAGTGATGGCGGTGGTAGAAGGCAGTGTGTTCGTAGTCGCAGTGCTCGTCACAAATACGCTCCCCTTCGTGACCAAATACGGTGGCAACGTATCTATAACAGAGTGAAAATACGATAAAAACACTTTCCACGATGATCCATTTCATGTTTCATAAATCATCGAATCACAATCGAATGAATGATGAAGATATTCGATGTCTTACGTTCTGGACCACCCACGCAGTAATGAAGACACTCAGCTTCGGAATTGAAGCGATTCTCGTTCCCTAAACAGCCGCCGTAAGGAAAGGTCCTGCATTTTCCTTCAGTCTTGTTGAACGACCACTTGTGGACGTACTGCTTGCAAGGACCCGGCTCGGTCCTCACGAGACACCTGTCAGGAAGCGTTCTCTTCGTCGTCGTGAACAAATCTATTTCGTCGGACAGGTCGACCTCCGACGACTCTGTCACATTGGCCCAAACGATTGCTTGAACGTTTGCCCATATGAGGATCCTGAAGATCCATTTTTTCTGATTGACCATCGTGCTGAAAAAACGGAGTAACGATCCTCTGGTATCTTATATTTCCTCGTAATAGCTGTTGGTATTGTCGAAAAATAAGAGTAAGAATTTGAAAGCTCTTCATTGATAATCATATGGATAAGAATATACATATGTTACACTTTAATCAAATTAAGAAAACCAATTATTAGCACTCGATTATGATACGATCTTCACGTGTATCTCTGGAAATCTTCAAATCCCCAAACATGAAACTATTATTCGCACCTGTTCACTGCTACGAAACTTTGAACAACTTAATAACGTTCTAAATAAGTCATCTGTTTTTCTATCCCTTCGATTCTCACAACACTTTCTGATCTTCCGTCATCCTTCACTCGCATGTTTAATATTTGAATTCAATCGGAACATCGAGAATGGAGAGAGTCACTCCCGAATTCCTCGCATTATACTTCAATATTAGTTTAATCAGTGGGTAAAGAATGTCTAGCATGCTAGGGTGTGAAAAATGAAAAAGCGCGATGGCTCGCGAGACGCTTGCGGATCTCACGTGGCAGGCCGGTTGTGCCTCTGTGACAGTTTTCTGCGTCCAAACATTGAGGACGCACGAATCTGCGTACCTTGACGTGCCGTGGTCCAAACGAGATCGCGACTAGCCAAGAGGACAGGATGTGACGTCAGAAGGCCCCCGGCAAGCACGACGACGGCTACGAGTCAATTGTCTTCTTTCGCACTGACACACCGACGCGATCCGTGATCCCACACGTATGTAGACGCGACACGCGTGTACGTGTGTCACGCCGCCACGCTACGGACTGTCACTCTGCTCGGAGAACGATAAGCAATCGTCTGCTCCTCTCCTTCGCGTACGTTGAGTCCCTTTGCCACCTCCTTTAACTTCGGCCTCGAACGACCCCTTATGCTGTTACCCTCCTCGTCATTGCCCGCAGATGACGATCACGCTCCTCAAGATGATAGGACTCGAAGGAACCAAATCGGGAGTACTCTTTAATCATGCGATTAGTAGTCAGCTTGTGTACATTTTGTTAATATTTGCCAAGGTTAATGATAATCAATTTTACGATGTTAGTCTTATGAATTTTTGAAAAGGGGTCGGTGGAAAAGTCACAAGAATTAACAGAAAATATATAGGNTATAAAGAAATTATTTGTTCTTTCTCAGAAAAAATGTAATTTCGAACATTTGTGTTGTTCGAACTTTTCAATACGAGTTCACGAACTTTCATCAGTGTCAAGTACTTAGAAAATCACTGTGAAATCGAACCTTTCCCAGACTAAGCATCCACTTAGAGAAGAACGAACTGTCCATCACTGTCCACCGCTGGCTCCGTCATCGCCGTCCTTTTCCTATTCCTCTTCGTTCTTCTATCTGGTTATCCCACTACCTCTTGTTGATGCTCCTGTTGCCGCTGCTGCCGCTGCTTGTAGCAACTAGACACTAATTTATTAATACCACTCCGACTGCCACTCTTTCTTACTCATCACGGTTTATTGACTTTCATTGCGATCCCGTGACCACCGACACGTTTTCACATAACGCCATTACCCTTTAACCTGCGTCGTTTTTTCTCTTCTTACGTCTTTACCACTTTATCAAACTAGTTTCGACTCGGTAACTGGTAGAGATTAAGATTTGTGGAATCTCAAAATAACAGTTCTGTTCGTATTGGTAACCTGATATTCACGCAATGTGGAAAGTTTATTATTACAATTTCATTGGTTTTTCATATTTTAAAATATATTATAATGCAAACTTATAGAAATGAAACAAAACGAACAAGTAAGAAATATTTAATGTTATACATAAATGTTAAATAAATTCTACAATTTTTTTATAACAATTTGAAATTGATAAGGATTGGAGGATTGATTAAGAACTTAAAAAATGAACTAACAAAAAGCTCATTTTTTTTGCTTGAATGTATGCTATTTAAGCAATTTCTGTCTTCGATAGTTTACACGATATTATTTTTTTCTACTTCGGTGGACGCGTTTCTTATTTTGAGGCATCAAGGTAGCATGACTCTCTTCACGGGCGCTCCTGTTGTCCCCGAGAAATCGATATATCGAGCAAATCCGAGTGGGTCATTGTATGTAGTGTACGCAGACTTTTAAAGGGAACGCTCTTCGCGAAAGAAAGGAACGCCTCCATTTACGTAATGAGCAATCATATTTCCTTTTCCATATTCTTGATTAACTAATAATCAGAGTAAACAACTGGTTTGAATACATTTAAAGGGTTAAAGGATGTAGTAAATTAAAATTAAAATCATATAAATTTGGTTTAAATTGTATGATTCGAAAGTGAATCTTTTATGCAGGGGTTTAGAGTCACGTTCGCTTAAACAAAAAGCGTGAATGCATCCGTGTCACGAAGTCAACCGTTGAATCCGAGAATGAATAGCCAAAACCATTACTCATAGTGCTTCTCCGCGCATGGGACGATTTTATTTAAGACCGGAGGCTGGTCGCACGACCGGAAATCACGTAGGGCGCTACACCGATCTTGCCCTTTGAAGGGAGACGATTCAATTTGCATAAAGGAAGTTTATCTTCCAGGAACCGAACGCAGACCGTGCATATCAATACCGCGGGGATGAATTAGCTATAGTCCTGCGATGAATCAACTCGTTCTGACTATTGTCCGCGAACGTTACATCCTTTTCGTGTAAGCACAAAAATTTGCATTTTTACGCGTGGGATCCAGTAGGTTTATGAAAAAGAAAAGAAAACGGGAATTGAACGAGCAAGAAATTAACACAATCCGGATAATTCTTTATGTACACAAGTTTTTTCTTACAATGTCTAATTTAATATTGGAAGTGTTTTGAGGAAATATGCTTCTGCGTGCATTTCAGACGCTCATTTTCCTTCAGCGTACGCCTGGTAACATTAGTCGAATTGAATAACTAAAGAAGATCTTCTAATTAGTGCAATTAATAATTGACGCATACGTCATTCTCTAAAAATGTTTGATCTTTTTGCTTTACAGACTCTTTCCTTCCTCACAGGAAATTGTCCTCATAGAAATTGTAAATTTTTTCTAGGAACTACAAATTAATTAGTGTTTTTTCTTAGAAAGTCGATAGCAGTTTCATTTCATAATGGGCGTAAATATTTTTACTTTCTTTTTATATTTATATCACGTGGAAATTTTGGCTGCTATAAATTTAAAAATTCGACGTTGTAAAGAATTTTTAGATATAAAACAGTTTTAGTAATATATATTATACATAATATCAACAAAAATTATGATAAAACCTTACTACATGAGAGAATTAATTTTTTTAATTCGCTTCATCAGCACAAGACACTTCAGCCGAGTCACGAGCTACTTCCTGTTTCACTATATCGTCTTCAAAATTGAATCACTAATCGCTATAAATGTTCCATATGATTTTACTTACACTTTTTAAACGAGATCATCACTAAATGCCGGAACTGAACACTCGTAGCATCTTTCATTGAATAAAGACTTCAATTAGTAAAATCATTCGTCATTGGGAAACTTTTGTTTTAGTCGTTTTTAAAATTGTGAGAAATAGTCGTTTTTAAAATTGTGAGAAAAATTAATTTGAATTCCGTTTCGTGTCTCGAGGTGCGCGTCGCGACGGAATCGCGCTTACGACTGATATATTAACTCATTCTCCGAGCCGCCGTGCTACTACAGGCTTTTCCTCCACCCACGCAGCCAACCGCGTATCAATTGAGGGTACTATCACGAGGTCTAGTTCTGTAGAAGGTGTCTCGGAAGCGTTCGGTTAACTCGTCAGTTCCTTTCCGAAACTCCGTCAATTCGACCACCAGAAGAATGTTTCATAATCATTAGTTACAGAAAACATGAACACAATTCATATTACCTTCCAATTATATTTCCAAATAAAATATGCCAAATACAACAAAGTATATTCAATAGATAAAAATAACACAATATATTATTTATACCAAAATAATTTTGTCATAACTTATTTATTACAATATAATAAAAATATTTAAAAAGAATTCATACTCAAAAGACACTATAATATATTTAATATTATATCTTTTAGAAAAACATTTAGCATCGATTGAAGTTAAATTCAAATAATTAGATGCAACTGTATCCTTCGTTTCAATTGATGTCTCGACTTGAGGTCCAATTTGTTGACACGTTTAATTAAGAAACGACAGACAATTGTTAATCGAACTTCGAATCGTTAATAACGAAATTCGTCGATTTAACACGTTTAGCAATCGCTCAATAAATGGTTTGTAATAATAGTACGCGCGATAATTATCGCTAAAATGCTTGACCCATATGTCGCACCGTGTTTCACTTATTGTTAACTGAACGCCGCGAACCTGTTATACAGTTTGCGATGGTTAAATTACTTAACAATGGCACAAAAAGTGAGCAACGTCTGATGATTGTCACGCATCACGTGCGCATCTGTTAATATAGAACACTGTTACTTGAATATCAAATGTATGATAATCTTTCATCGAAGGAATTCATTTCTCCTCTCCATTAAATAATGCATAACTCCGAGGGAAATATCCGATAACAAGTGTATAAATATAAAGATGATTATAGCTGAATATACATATGTATACACGTGTTATGGCAAGTGATGAAACAGTGATAAATCATTATGGACGATTTACTTTTCTGACGAGCACGTAAATGGAGAAACGCTTCTCACGAATAAATGACGAAAATATGCACAACGATGGTGTCGTCCTTGCGTAATTTTTCTACAGGACATATCCAACGAATGCATGCATTATGAATGTGTCTGTCTCTGATAAAAGCTGGAAGAAATTGCAATGAGAAAGTACATCGTTTACTAGTTTATGCTCAAAGAACTTTCAGAAATAAAAATAGAAGGTGTTAAGCAAGGAAACAGTCTGTTGTATTATATTTACTGACGATAATTGATGATGTGTGACATCCAAAAATGGAATGAGGCGTTAAACAAGCGAAAGCTAGTGATAAAAAATAAAATGCTGAAAATCTGTTAAAAAATTTGATAGAATCTAAACAGCTGTTTCAACATTTTGGTTCAAATTTACACAGTATGGTCACACGAAGTGTGTACGTCGATGAAGTGAAGTGTCAAAAGTCGCCAGTTGTCTGATACATCACGTCCTATGCCACTGTTTGCGTAATAGTTAAAAAGATGATTCTGCGATAAGATGGATCGAAATATTGACTCGTTGCAATTTAATACAATTTGATTTAATTTACTTGAATCAAGAAAAATCAGCGTATTTGTGTCAATGCAGAAC